GCACTTCGAAGACATCAACCAGCTTGGAAGCAGCACCTTCACAGTAAATATACCGGACCGTGATCATCATCAGAAAGGGTATCTCATCCGACTCGTTGTATAACTTTTTATTTTTTTGCCTGGCTCAAGGTTCCACACGCGGTGGCTATCGCATCTTCCACAAGTGTTTCTCACACCTGCAAGGTGTGTGATGAGGACGATGAGCCACGCGACTGTAACTGCATACCCTGAAGCTTGACTAAACACAACAAGCAACTTTCCCAATATGTGGTTTCATTGGTCCACATCCCGGAGGGAGAAGTCAACTTTGTAACGAATTTGAAACAAGTAAAACCATAAATTTGATTTTCTTTTGTGAATCGTTCAGTCCCTGGCCCTCATCCTGAACAAATTTTTCCACATAAATCTTTCAGGAAACCATGGAAACAAACTGACAAATTTTCAGTACAAAATTGCAGATCACAAACGTACATACAAACAAACTTTTTCGTATATAGATAAACTAAATTTCAAAGTAAATTTAAAAATTTAAGTCGCGGAAGTGAACTGGTGCTAATTTGTTATATTTTGGAGCTTTAAAAAATGACACTTGAAAAATAAAATTGTCTTATTTTCCATTTCATTCGTTTGAAATTAATGAGCTCTCCCTTTCCCCCGTCACTGCTCCCATTCTGCAATCAATTTTCGATTTAGCGTTGGTGATCCACATTGAAGGGTGTTGCTGCATTGATTGCATTCAGTTAAATGGCATTACTTACACAGTTATGGCGAAAAGTATGCGGACTTCAGCATCTGCATTCGGGAAATGGGAAATGAGAGAGAAAAGGGCGAAAGAAGTAAATGCGGTAAAAAGTCGGAAATACTTTGAAGGAGCTTAAAGCAGATGAAAGGGAACATTTTGCTCAAGTTTGCCCAAGATTCACTCCATTCTTGCTCTGGCTAACACCGCATTGCTTACTTTCTCTGAGCAACGTCTAAATACAAAAAGAATATGGCAATTATTGAGGAAGAAGAAGAGAATAAGGTCGATTGCAATTTAAATTTTTGTTTCTGTTTGTATTTACGAAACGTCGTGTTGTAATCGGAGATAAAGAAAATTTAATTTCCACAAATCTTCCAATACCCTCACGCGCCCACACACACACACACACACACACTTACATATTGATTATTTCTTTGATATTTATTTCTGGTTTATTCGCCCGCTTTGTGTGATTTCTTCTTATTTTTGCAGCTCAATGGGGGGTTTTGTGGATGCGGCTGCCTTTGACTTGCAACGGATCGCTGGTATTTGCCTCTCATAGCTCGAGGGGAGTGGGAGGTGGGGGGTTCGGCCCGGCTGTGCGCGGCGGATTCTTCATTTGCATGAGCGCGTAATTTAAAATTGAATTATTACGTAAAGAGCTGCGAAGGTTGTTGCTTTTGTTGTTGTCATGAAGATAAAAAATTATTTGTATCTGCAACGACAACAACAACAGTCACATCAACAGAAATGCGTAGCGGCGCAGCAGTAGAGCGATGGTGGTCGGGCACATCCCTACATCCGTAGAGTGCTCAAATTACCGTTACAAATGCGTTAGGATTTGTGTATTAGCGTTAGCTTCCATTTGTCTACCGCTATTTTTGTTGTTGTTGCTGTCCCTCTTGTAAATCTTATTGTAGGCATAAAAGGTGGCTAAGAAGATGCAAAATACGGCGTTCTTGTCATTGTAGTTGTTGTTGTTGTTGTTGGAATTTTTTACGGTCGGCACTTTACATCTCTGTTTACATAAAAATATCATGAGTAATTGTGGCGATTACTGTTTGTGGCCGCCTGGCCGTTTGCCGTGCGGCCGTGGCGCTGGGTCCTTAACAGTGTGTGGGTGTGTGTGTGTGTGTATGAGTCGGTGTATCAGTGTGGAAGAGCGCAGCCAGAACAGCGTATCCGTTTAATGTGCTTCCTCTACGTATTAAATGTTGCGGCAGAGCTTTATGTGGCATAATTTTTTTCTTTTTCCCCACCTTTTTCCCTACACACATCTATTGTATTTTCCACTTTCGAATTTCATTCTTCTTCTTTCGCTTTCCTTCGCCTTTTATGAAATATTACATCTCTCCGTAAGCAGGCAGCGCGATATGTTTTTATTTGGTTCTTTTTCTTTTCATCGCTCGCCTTGTTGCTTTTCATTTCAATGCTGTTGTTGTTGTGTTCTTGTTGTATGGATATGAAAATAGTAGCAACAATTTATCAGCGGCGCGAAGAGCAAACAGCGCAACACCCGAAAATCATGCAACACAAAACTGCTATTTACTACTAATTTACAAGCGGAGTAGGGATCGTCGGGCTGAGCGGCCTTCGGGGGCTTATGTTACGTATACGTCGGCACGTGAATGGCATGCAAATAAAGTTCGTTTATAATTTATTGAGTGTGTCCGCGCGGCAGGCAAGTGAGGTCTGAGGCTCTGTGGTTGGCAGTGGGTAGTTGTTGTCTTGAAGTGGTAGTTATTTTTCCAACTGCTTTAAATTGCTAGAAATCATAACCAAAAAACAAAATACAGAAGTCGTGTGCTTAACGGCCGTTTTATGATTATAATGAAGGCTACTGTGCACTTCAGAAAAATGAAGTCTCGCTGTGGGTACTCTTTTCAACTTAAATAATTAACATTTCCACTAGGTTTCTATGATTTAAATGTTCTGTATGCCGAATAATGGAGTTCTTTGCAATCCGTATGAAGATAAGGTCTATCCCACGGTAAACGAGACAAATATCTTTGCGAGATACGGAAAATAGTAAAAGCAGCCTATAGGAGAGAGACTTACAGAATTAGTATAGAACACGAATTCAGTGCTTTTGTCTCTCATCAATATGACAAATTATTCGAGTTGGATATTTCCCTGTTTTGACGATCTCCCATCTGAAAAATCAGTTGTTGGGGGCTATATTATTTCGAAGATTTCAGCCGATTTTCGACAGATTTTCTTTCACAAAGACTCACATATCGGAACAACCCGGTCAATCGATCTGGCAGACAAAAAAAGTTCTGAAATCTACATTTCGTTTAGATATCCCAAGACCTGAACCAGTTTGCACTTGAACAAACCGACAGACGGGTAGACAGACGGATGGACAAATGGACATGCCTAACTCAGCCCGTCAATAGATCTGATCAGTATAAACTGACTGTGTTTAGTTCTTCTCTGTCTAGTATTTACATCCTTCAGACCAAGAAATATATAAATCTGATTAAAAAAAGTGTAAATCGTAACGATTCCGAAACTCCATAATCAATATTTGAAATAAGATGTATTAGCCTTTTTCTTGGGAAACAGTTTGCCTCTTTGAAACCATTTGGTGTTCTTAATGGAAATGCTTGTATCCGATAGACTGTTTGCGGACAGTCATTAAAGTTTTGATAGCTGATGAAATTCTATATCGAAATTTTGAGGGACCTGGGCACTCAGGGCGAAAGTTGACAATTGATTCCTTACCTCCTTCTAATTGGGAGCAGCTATGGGTTTTCTAAGCCACACTTTTCAGTGCAAAAAGTGTAAGCTGCCATTACCACGGACTCTACTGATCCTTCCTATCGCTCATGGTGCTAACACCGCTTAAAACTCGTCACGAAAGCTCCCTGGCTCACCGATTCGCCAGCTTTTTCGCAACCGAAATGTTCCCTTTGCCGGATTATCCATATTATGGAGGCCGAAATCAAGGGGACACTCGCTGTACGGAACTATTTAAACATGGCGGTGGAGAGCTAACAAAGTGTCTACATAAATTAAGTAAAAGCAAGAGATCTTCAGCAAGTACAAGGACAACATGTGTTACGAAACTTTAGCTCCTGCGTTTACCCATTAATTTCATTTTGAAGTTGTTTTACGATAAGCGCAAAAAAATTTGTTTGTCGTAATTGCAACATGTTGCAAGTGTAAACGGAAATTCTTCAACGTAATGATGTTAATTAATTTTAATAGTTTTAAGCAGCTTAAATTTAAATATATTGTTTCCAGTTCACTTTGCTGTTGCATCGCATTTTCCAAACTGATTTGCATTTAAATTGATAAATTTATACTTTTTTATGTTTCATAATAATAGCAAAGTGGAGTTGAATTTGCGGAATTTTTCGAGTTGACTTCACATTTGCATACTTCTATTGTTGTAATTCGCTTTATAAAAATTATCGCTGCAAGCCGAAACGAAGGCAGACAAAGCGGAAAGTAACGCATATATATATACAATATAATATGTATTTCTATATATGTATTTATGTACATATACAATTCATATAATACATAATTGTATGTGCTATAAACATATATTTATATAAATGGTTATTTAAAAATATTAATTTAAAATTTCGATTTTATCATTTTCTAGTATTTGCAAATATTTGTGTTGGAAAGAAAACCAAAAAAAAAGGAAAACGGCAATACGATGTATTTATGAGAATTCGAAATATTTGCATTTCATGAATTTCACAAATTGCACAAAATTTTCATAGATCCGAAAAAAGCAAAGCCTTCGAGTCGAAATACAAATTTCATAGCAAAAATTTCATTTAACCGAAATCTGTGTGGGGGAATACTAAGGGCAGGGAGTGAGTAGTTGGCTAATATGGCGAGATGAGGTTGAATGTGAATTAGGGTATTTATGTATATGCGCATGTATTTGCAGGAATATGTCATTGGCGGCTCATGCAGGAAAATTCCGCTGAATCCGCTTAAAGATGTTTTATTTCCCGTTAAGCTGAGTCGCATGGTTTCAGAAGGCTGTACTTGGTTGGCTAATACATATGACGCTGTTATGCACTTATATCTGAAAACGTGTGCCGCCTAGTGGCCTCGCGTTATAGCTAAACCAGGCAGAACAGGCTCATAATAGCTTACAATAACAATAAGGGCAATAAGTGAAAAAATAAAAGCAATAAAAAGGAGAATACAATAAATACGAAAATGAAAAACAGGAAATATCTAGTTTCGACATCAAACTAGAAATGAAAACAATTTGTACAATACGAACCTTTGATCTGATGTCGAAAGGACTCAACTGCAATTTCTTAAATTCTCTTTTGAAGTCCGCTTCTCTTTCACTAAATATTCTCTCTTTTCGCTGTTTGGCGCCAATTGGATACACCAAGTATAGCTTCCACTAGCGGGTACTCCATCGAAAACTTGCAGAGCTAGAATGCATGTAATCATTCAGATAATATGATCTAGCCAGCGTAGCGGCTGTTTGTTGTTTACCTGAACGTCCAATGTCGCTGTATAACTCGGACAGTTGCATCATTCCATCGGCTGCAGTATTTTGCGTTGGATTCACGAGATGAGAAGACCTTATCTTCTAGCTCTGAGAGGTCTTCTGCTATTCTGACGAAGCCTTTGCTGTTACTTAACTCCAATTCACAGAGCCATGTACGTTTTAGTGGGGAGAGCATGTTCTGGCATAGCGACTTAGAGGCAGCTCCTTTACGTTCAACAGCAGACAGCCTTAAAATCAACAAAGTAGTGATGTGTATCGATTTTTTTCGCGGGTCCTTAGTGCATGATGAATATCTGGCCTTTGACCTATTTACCAGGTTGAAAGCCGTGCGTCAGTCTTTCCCTCAGTACGATTGTGTGAGATATGGGGAAGGTAATAATGCAGATTGTGGTGCCTCCTCTTTATGTATTGTAGAGAGGGCAGAGCACGCTTAAATTCGTTTGGCCGAACATGATTCATCCGACCACTTTTTGCAAAGAAGTTGAGTTAGGGAAAATGTGAGTTCTACGTCGCTGTATTTTTAGAAGCTCGGCCAGCAAGCTATCGGCCTCTTGCTATTCAAACTTATTTAAAGTCGGCCAATGAAACATCTGTTCCGTCGCTATCGATCGGGGAATCGGTTTCGTTTGATGTTCTATTTGCACAGCCATTCAGCCAGCTGGAGAAGTGAGATTTCTAAAAACTACACTTAGGTCATTCTTAAGTTAAGCCATGATATGTTTATATTATTCTAATAGCAATGACAAAATAAAGCACAGTTAAAGTGCATAGGCCCTTAAGTATGTATCCGAATATGTACATATAAACCTATTTCAATGAAATTCCCTTACAAATACAACGGAGTGTCCTTGTGAGCATATCCTGCCACGCATTCTATTCAAATAGAAAACAATGATTTGAAAAGAGTTTGAGGAATAAAAGTAGCAGAAATTGGGGAAGTGGGGGGGGGGCAGTATTGTTTGTCTTTCCATTGTAAACTTTGTGATGTTGTCAACTAAATGGAGAAGGGGAGAATGTATAAAAGCGTAGGTGAATGCTGAACAAAAGAGTGAGTCACATTGAAAAACGTACGTATGTGTATATGTAATATTTAGTATTTTTTATAAATATATTGGAGAAAAAAACACGAGCTTTGAAATCAGTTATCACAAACACAAGCACAAATGCTGCATGATTTTCTGTGTTGGGCCCAAATGAAAAGAAATAAAATTAAATGAAGTTATTATGGATTTTCCAATAGTTTCTACAGTGGATATGCCTTTTTGTTTAGTAGTTGTTGTTTTTACACTACCAAAGAGAAAGTCGAGAAGACGGGAATGGGAAACATGTGGAATGAGCTTGAGTGTATTTGGAATCACGTGGTCTTCAAGACTCCCAACACTTTTTAAGCCCACGATCGTGCCTGCTTATACAGGTATAAGATCTTGGCTGATCCCAGATAAAAACGAGTTGGTCACGGTAATAAAAAAATCAGTATCAAGCACGGAAGTTTTGTAATAAGATCAAATGCTATATTCTGTCGAATGAAAGGTAGCCTCGTCGATTTTCTTGTATCGATTTAACTGGGATTTTTGTCCAGATACTCAATGAAATCCCTGGAGAGTTTATACCCAGTGCATATCGTTTCTTTGAAAGCCAGGCAGGTCTAGGAGGTCTAGGTATTTAGCATAGATTACCGAAAACAATCTTGTGGCCTTAAAGGAGTGAGGTTAACGGCGGTTGGTAGTTTTTCACGAGAACTGTCTCATAACAATTTCAAACAAGGATACTTCAAACTGGTTACAAACGTTACGGCCAGATGTATTATTGCCCCGGGGTCTTATTCTCAATGAATTGCGGAATTTCCATTGATAGGTGGTTCAGAAGCAAAAGACCTTTGACTGAAGAGGATTCTCCAACAAATGAATTGATCTAGGACTTTGCCGTATAGATAATAACAGTGCTAGTAAAAAGTAGTCCATTATTTTTGTAATAGAGGTTTTTGTGACCTGTATGTCGCGGGCTATAAACGCGAAGGGATTACGTTAGACGGCGTTAGAAAAACGATATTTTGTACTGAGGAAGGTTATGCGAGAGGAGCTGATTACACATCTCAGCAGTGTTTGAGCGCTTGTCAAAGATGGACAGCCGCAATTTCGATAAAGGCGAGAATGCTGTGACCAGTATCTATGATCCTGATACTGGAACAGCCAATCATGGTTCCTCGGTTTCATTTCGGTAGGTGTTACATAAAAGACAGTGTCTGCGAAAACTGCTAAGCATTGCACAAGAACACTTTGTAGTAACTTTAAAAAGCTTGATACACAAAGAAGCTCGATGAATGGATGCAGCGTGAGTTAACGAAAAAAAATCTTTTGAACCGAATTTCCACCTTCGAAAACGGCATTGTTTTGTATTTGGTGGGCTCCTATGTATGTAAATCGAATGATTTGACTGATAAAGAGTTGGTCTCAAGAGATGCCTGCATTACGCGAGTTTCTGTAAGAGAAGCATATCAACATTACCTTAAAAATGGTAAAAAGCTTGACATAAGACGGATAGTTCTAACCTGAGTAATAAAAGCCTTTCACTCAAAGCAAAACTTGTAGTTTGCCTTTTAAAGTAAAATTGAGGAGGAACAGACAGTCCAGAGGAGAAAAAAAGGACCGGAGAATAAGGAAATAATGCATCATCCTTGAATATATGATCCGAATTCTCGCCTGCACATAAAAAAGTTTTGGACGTTTCACATAAATAATCTCTAAATTGAACTTTTGCTGATCGTTATCAGGCAAATGCACTGCCAAGCAATTACAATTACAATTTCAAGTTCTATTTTGCAAGCTCACAATTTTATTTAAAGCAATTTCAGATAAAAATATGTGTACGCATTTTAATTAAATAAATGGCACAAACAAATAACAGCCAGAATACATACATTTATCTATGAAATATTAATAAAACACACTGAAAATTCTGTAGTTTAAATTTTAGCCTCACATATAATTTTATACATATGTATATATATGTATGTATATATGTATTACACATTAACTCTACGCACACACATAAATTCATATGGATAAAAAAAACATTCTTGCTATTAAGTCCGGATAAATGCGCAACTGGCGCAAAAGAATTTACTGCCATTTTATATTGCAACAACAATAATAGCAAGGCAACAACAATGAAACAACGCTGCAACCGGAAAGTGCATGCGACTGAAAATAAGAACGACTACAACAACAATGGCAGCAAGTTTTGCACAATAACTCAACTCAACAAATGACTTACCTAAAAGAGCGTAAACAGAAAGTGTGCCACACATTACATGCCATTGTTTAACGGTTCTATGAAACGGAAATTAAAACGCAATGTTTTTAGCTAGCAAAAACAGGGCAGGGCGAGAGAAGAAATTCTCAAGTGGCTATATAAAAATAATTAAAATTGCGACATGTCAAAAAAAAAAAAAAAAAAAAAAAAAAAAAAAAAAAAAAAACTGCGAGGCATTTTTAAAAGCACAGACAATTATTTTTTTAACAAGAATGCTGATTTTTTATTGAGAGATTGATGAGAATAACGGTAGTTTAGATAGAAATGAGGAGATTTTAAATTTTTCGAATTTTTTGTTGATATAATAATTTACTTTATTTTAGAAAGACATTAAAAAGGATTTTTACTAAACTTTGAAAAATTACAGTAAGCACGCAGACATGCGCACATAATGCTTCGCACATAAATTAAGCACTTGAAAAGCCTAGATAAATGTGGAAGACTGAAGATAAAAAAATAAAATGTGAAAGCCATTTAATGCTGCATTAAACTCGGGACCACTGAGGCGTATACTTAACAGCCGCCGCTTTTCGTTCTATTTTTTCCACACGCTCGCCATGCCTAAGCTTTTTTACAGCAAACACGCATTCATAAAAAAAAAATCTATAGAAATACATCCATTATTTTTTTGGACTAATTGTTCTAGTATTATTTCGCTGAAATAATTTACTTTAGCTTTAGTTAAAATTCCCGTTAGAAAAAATGTTTTTATTTCAAGTCCGTCGATTTTTGTTTTTAAACAAATGTGGAAAATGCTTCATTAAATTGACTATGTCCAAAAGGAGGTGACATTTGTGTGCTAAGTGGGATTAAATACTAAAAAATTTGTTCAGGGATATAATTTTTGTGCGAAAAAAATGTGTAACCCTCTGCCTGCGATTTAAATCGTAAATTTAAATTTAGGAAAGTTTTTTATTTTTTCAAGAATAATTTTCTTTAGGGACATAGGAATCTAGTATGACCATAGTCTAATAGTTTTCTGCGCCCATAAACTTAGGTGCATTTTGTTGAATTTGTGAGATAGATATGAATTTTTGAATATTCAACGATCGACTAACTTAACTCTTTGTCGATTTTAAGATGGACTTCGACAGCACGAAAAGAGCTGACTCTACGCCGCTATGTCTGAACTCGGTGTCCTAGCAAAACTTAAGTGGCTTTGTAAACTAACGTCCAGGATCGGGAAGGACATCTACAAGCCGTTCGATACCAAACTAGAATTCATTGGAAATGATTCCTTATCATGTGACGACTTTAATCTATTGCTGGTGAGCGAGGCCAAGACGAATAAACCTCCTGCAAAGGAACGTTCAGCGCATTCGCCGCTCATCTCCCGCGTCACTGTTTGCAGCCATAATAATAATTTTGTCTATGTTGGAACCATCATTAATCACTAACAACGTCACCCTTGAAATCCAATGTGAAGTTTTCTCCCAACCAATAAATACAAATCTCTAGAAGTCGCTCATCATTCCCGACCTGCGATATTGTGCGGAGGCATGGGCGACGACAAGTCTGATGGGTAGGCGTTCGAACAAAGATTCTGCGTAGGATTGATGGCACTCCGCGCATCGGGAGAGTTCATAAGCAATTTCCTATGAGGATATGACCTCGAATTTTGGAATATTTATCAGTATCCTGAGAAGGGAAATATCAACAGATTTGATTACATAGCGGTACTGGAGCGTAGAAAGCCAAGACTTTAAAGAAATGACGGCATAAAGCGGACAAAAAAATTCTCCTCATCAAGGCCACAAAGTCGTTACAAAAACTGCTAATGAACCGTTACGGCGGCGGTGGAGTGTTATGTGGCTCTTGATGGAGTTTACGTTGCTAAATCAAGCCCATCTTGACCACAAAGAACAGCGTTTTCTTTGGGGCTGACCAAATGTCACGAAGTGTCATATTTATATTAGTAAATGCATTGAAATGATGGCTTTATTTACCAAAGTTAAAATAATTTATGTGAAATACGTACTGTTTTGCTCGGTAGCTCTTTGCCATTTGAAGGTGATATTATAATGCCTTTCTCATAGAAACCCCTGTCCCTTTTGGCAAAAAAATGTGGCACTCGTTTTTCACAGGCCTCTATTGAGGCCAATTCTTTGGTAACCACTTGGTGCGAGGTCCAGACTAAAAGGTTTCAACCTCGTGAGTCACTATCCACGTGTGTGAACGGGTGTGGTCCTGATGAAACACAGTACCTTTTCTGTTCGCCAGTTCTTTGGACTTCTGGACAATTCCTTCCTTCAGACGGTCCTATTGCTGATAGTAAAGTTGCTGTACCTCATAGTAAACGATTGCCAATCTGAAAAAAACATATCTACAACAAAAT